CAGTCTAAAACTTCCTAAATGTATTCCCCATCCCATGTAAATCCATGGCTAATTCATTTCAATGTATGACAAAAACCACTGCAATGATGTAAAGTAATTAGCCTCCAACTAATAAAAATAAATGAAAAATAAATAAATAAAAAAAAATAAAACTTCCTAAAGAGGGAATATCTTTCCTTTTCCCTCCATGGGAATAGTGTGAGTATTCACGAGAGCCCAGCTGACCTTCAGAATCATCATGGTCAAGAAAGGAATCAAACAAACATAAAGGACTTATTTGCCAATTTAAGAGGCAAATTCTTAGGGATGAGGAAAGGAAAAAGACAGGCTCTTTCAAATGGGCAATTTAGCAATTATGCTTTTGGGGAAACTTTTTTACAAGCAGCTTGGTACATTTCTATTTTTAAAGTACTGACATATACTTGATCAAAAATGCTAAGATGCTATTTCCAGCAAATTGCACAGATAATTAAGTCTAATTTCAATGATGTTTGAAATAATAGCCATAAATCTTTACAGGTTCTTGTATTCAATCCATACTGAAAATTCATTTAAATTTTATTTTAATACAGAGTTTTCTCATCTTGGTGATTTTCTATGAGCTTAGTTAACTAAGGATAGGTCCACATAGGCAAAGTAGGAAAAAAGAAAATTATTTGGCCAACTCAAGTGTTTTAAAAAATAAATTTATTCTAATTACATACAGTCCTGCTTCAACTCTTCAGTATTTTTCCTTCAATGGCTTCAGAATCTATATCATAAATTCTCCTCCTTCAAGTTTCAGAGTGAGTGGAGTGCAATTTTCTCCCACAGTTTTAATGTGGGTTGAAAGTTATAATGAATATGTAATTTAACAAACGACTCCCAAAATCTACACGAGGATAGGGCGAGAAAGGGTGTAGCCAGGGGTTGGATTAAAAGGATGCCTAGACACACTGTTTTTGAATGAAAACTATTGTAGTTCAAGAGCTAAATAGAACTCTGAAACCAAACCTCCCACAAAATAGCCCAGGGAAATTCACTTCTGTTATTTCTTCTGTCCCTCTCAACAGCTTGGGTATTTTGGAGAGGAAAAGCAGCTTCCTAAAAGCACACATCTAGTGAGAAGGCTCCTCCTGGGACCCACCCTGTCTCCAGAACCCAGGACTCTTCACTACACTACGTATGAGATGAAGTGGGTTTTAGTAGAAGTCTTCACTAACCCCCATGTCAGTGGTCCCCAACCTTTTCAGCACCAAGGACCAGTTTTATGGAAGATAATTTTTCCACAGACCGGGCAAGGGAGGGGTGGTTTCAAGATGATTCAAACACATGACATTTATTATACATTTAATTTCTATTATTATTACATCAGCCCCACATCAGATCATTAGGCATTAGATCCTGGAGGTTGGGGGCCCCTGCATGTGGCCGCAGCATCCCCCAGAAAAGTGCTCCCCTGTTATCTACATGGTGGTGGTTTAGTGTCTCAGTTGTGTCTGACTCTTGCAACCCCATGGACTGTAACCCACCAGGCTCCCCAGTGCATGGACTCTCCAGGCAAGAATAATGGAGTGGGTTGCCATTTCCATCTCCAGGGGATCTTCCCAAATCAGGGATTGAGCCCAGGTCTCCTGCATTGCAGGAAGATCTGAGCTACCAGGGAAGCCCTACATGGGTCAACTGAAGTGAAAGTCACTCAGTCGTGTCAGACTCTCTGCAACCCCATGGACTGTATATTCCATGGAATTCTCCAGGCCAGAATACTGGAGTGGGTAGCCTTTCCCTTCTCTAGGGGATCTTCCCAACCGAGGGATCGAACCCAGGTCTCCCACATTGCAGGAGGATTCTTTACCAGCTCAGCCACCAGGAAAGCCCAAGAATATTGGAGTAGGTAGCTTATCCTTCTCCAGAGGATCTTCCCGACCCAGGAATCGAACTGGGGTCTCCTGCATTGCAGGCAGATTCTTTACCAACTGAGCTATGAGGGTCAGCTGAAGCTATCTTTAAACATGAATTTCTATAATTTTATGTTATTTTGCATCTTATTTCAGGGGTCAGCAAACATTTTTTTAATAGAGGGTCACGTTGTCAATGTTTTGGGGATTTGGAGGCTTATCTATAAGGACTCTGTCACAACTATTCAAATCTGTCATTTTAACACAAAAGCAGCCATAGACAGTACAGAGACAAAATGTGTGTGGCTGTCTTTCAAGTTAAATTGTATTTATTAAACTATGAGGTGGGCCGAGCTGGGCCCACGTGCGGCGGTTGCCAGCGCCTGCTCTGTTGGATGCCTGTGGACACAGGATGTTGACGCCGCCACCTGGGCTGGCCTCATTACACATGGAGAGTGGGAGGAGGTCTGTGTAGAGAGTGAAATATTTATGTGCTCACATTTATATTTCAACACCCACATACTTCCAAGGGGAGATTTGGAAAGGCTTACAGCAAATCCCCATTTGGAAATAAAATGATCTGAAGCTATTCAAGGAAAGTAGGAAAATACGCGCGGAGTCAGGTGGTTTTCCCAAGTACGCAGAGGTTGTGTGTGAGTCAATTCCAAACGGGGGATGAATGAAGCGCAGGGGTGGCCCCGAGCCTCCTCGTGGGCCCAGTGGAAATGTCAGGCTCCTACTGACCCCGTATTCCCGAGGGTTTATCGGACACGTCCTGACATAAATGACACGTTGGAACCAGACAGTGTCCTAGGAGGGGAGTCATTTCATGGCAGAAGCAAGTTAGTCGAGTGCATCCCTCTGTGTTCACGCCCCCAGGACATGACCTGGACGCCTAGATCATCCCATAGGCCCAGCTTTCCAGCCCCGAGTCCCCCACAAAGGAGGCTGAGTGACAGTGAGTGTGTGTTCCACAGAATTAACAGGGACCTTCTCTCTGGAGCACTGAATCATGTCAAGATTTTGAAGTTAGTCAAACGACACACTCGTCCTACTGAAAACAAGCACGTGTACTTCCTGACATCAGAACTGTTGTTGTTCACTCGCTAAGTGGCGTCTGACTCTTTGCGACCTCATGGACACACCAGGCTTCCCTGTCCTCCACTATTTCCCGGAGTGTGCTAAAGTGTGTGTCCACTGAGTCTGGATGCAAATTCTGGCTTCCTCCTGAGCCTCGAGGAAGTGACCTAACCTCTCTGGGACTTGGTTCACCAATCTGTAAAATGGGCTGAAGAGCACCTCCTGGGGTCAGGAGGAGGGTGAAATCACCTGGGCCTGTGGCAGGCCCCCCACAAGAGTTGCCGCCTCTGTCTCACATCTCCAGCCTCCGTGAGGCTGGGTACCCACATCTCCCGAGCTCTCTCTGCTCATGAGTCGCTGGGGCCCCTGATCTTACTCAATAAACCACTGGCTGGTGTTTCCGATGTCCAGATACTGAGCACAGTAAACTCATCCCACCTCCATTTCATCTCTTAGTTTCTCCACAGAAATGTTCCTGAGTTGGCTTTGAAGGGTCATTAGCCCTGGGTCCATCTAGGATGGACCACCCAGGAAGCGGTGCCAGTTTCCCACCAGCAGAGACACTAAGAAAACGGTTCGATATCACACTTGACATTTTCAAAAGAGACGATCAGATCTGAATTATTTTCCATGTTAAAGGAGAAATTAAATAATTCATAATACTAAACCACTCTTGTTGGAAGAAACACTACTTATCAAAAGTACAGTGCTGTCTGCGGTAGGTCATGAATTTACATTCCTAAGAACTAAGCCCTTTTTTTTTTTTTTAACAAATATGAGGATTTTCTAGAACCTACACTTAAAAAAAAAATCTTTCTGCCCCAACATAATACCACTTGTTTTTAGATTTCATCACTCACATTACTCAATTCCTATATGTTTAATTGTGCAATTCAAAAAAAATATCTATTGATTGTCTGCTGTGTTCAGGTCCCTTCCCTCAGAAGTTTATATCTTGGAAAGGGAATATGATGCATGTGCAAATGGTTGTTATTTAAAACAGAGGAGGGTCAGCAAGACAAGAGGAGTGGAAGCTCTGGAAAGAAAAAGCCAAGGCTTCAAATCCCAGCTCCCCAACTTCCCTGCAGGGAGGACCCGGGCAGATTGCTTCCTTTGCCTCAGCTTTGGTTTCCTCCTCTGTACAGCGCTCATCAGAACACCGGTCACGTGGGGCTGACTGCGGGGGATATGCTGACTGCAGGGGATACACTGAGGATGCGCTGACTGCAGGGGTGCACTGATTACACTGAGGATACGCTGAGTGCGGAGGATGCCCTGACTGCGGGCGATGTGCTGACTGCTCTGAGGATGCGCTCAGACACTGTACCCCTGCGCCCAACTTGGTCACATCCACAGACGAACCAAATAACGACAATAGATGAAAAGCTGCCCGGTTTAAAGCAGGATGGAAAGACCACGCAGCAAGAGACCTAGGAACAGACTGAGGTTTAGAAAAACAGAAAGGAATTAAGTTTTAGAAAAAGTAAATAGCGTACTTTTCTCAATCAGCAGAGTCTATAACCTAAACTTCAGAACTCCTGCAAGTCTCCTTGACCACTGGCCCTCACGAAAGCCGCAGGAGCATGACCCGGGCAGTGACACAGTGACTGGGCTAGGCTCTGCAGGCTGGCAAAGCCGGGGGCCGCAGGGGCCGTGTGGCCTCGCCCAGGGCCTGGGAAGAGCCAGGAAAGAGAAGACTCGCTCTTTGAGACTCCCCGTTATGAAGAAGGTATTCAGGCTGTGGTCAACCTAATGCTAAGCCCCGAACCACAGAATCCCACAAAGGCCCCCTCCTCCCTTCTTTGCGCTTCCTTAACTAACAAAAGCATCCTTCTGCCCAAGGCGAGCTCGTGGCCTCTGGTGGGATGACATGGCCTCACTTCACGGATCTCTGCTTCAGCAACGTGAGTGGGTTGGGGTTTGGGGAAGGTTCTTGTGAACAGAAAACAGCAGGTGTGGGATGGCACCTCTGAGCTTAGGCTTGGAGGAGACTGTGACTCTGTCTTCCAGGCTATGTCTTGCCCTCCACGCTCTCTCTGAAGGATGCCAGCTGCCTTGTCACATGCTGCCCTTGGGAGAGGCGCACGGGCTGAGGACAAGCTCCGGCCAACAGCCCGCGAGGGCCTGAATCCTCCCGGCACGTGTGTCCTGGGCCTGGAAGTGGACCCTCCCGTGCCTCCTGAGCCGCCGGATGAGACAGCAGCCCCGGCTGACACCCTGTGGCTGCCTCAGGGACACCAAGCTGCGTTCAATTCCTTACCTTCAGAAGCTCTGAGGTAATAAAGGTTTATTTAAATCCATTACCTCTGGGGTTGGAGAAGGAAATGGCAACCTACTCCCATATTCTTTACTGGAAAATCCCATGGACAGGAGCCTGGTGGGCTACAGTCCATGGGGTCACAGAGAGTCAGACATGACTGAGCAACTTCACTCACTCACTCACCTTTGGGGTAATTTGTTACAAAGCGATAGATAACCAAGGCCTTGCCTATGTGCTCTTTTCTTTAAAAATAATTTCAAAAGTCCCCTAAGATGAGGAAGAATTACCTTCTCTTTGTTCATTCAGTTTTTCTCAGTAAGATATTTTGTGAGTCGCTCATAAATAAAAAACAAAGCGAAATTTAGCCTCTAGGATTTAAATCACCTTTTTCATTCTCTACCCTGCTTATAACAGGACCTGAAGACACACCCCTTACATTTTAAATTTTTATATTTTTAACTCTTAAAAATGAAAGAAAAAAAGAAAAGCCAGATATTTTCTCTGCAAATAGTATTCATGCTCTTTAAACAGAAAACAGTATTCTCCCTCAATCTCAATTTCTAGCCTCCTGCTTTATCAACTGTTGCAAAATTACATTTTTCCCTACATTACCTGGAAAGATTGTTCTTTTCCGTATCTTATGCTCTCACTGTTCTGACAGTGCAATCTGTGTGCAAAATATGAAGAACCCGTTATTCGGTAAATGAATGCTTTGGTTACTGTGGGAGTATTATGGGATCATGGCATTCCACTCATCCTGCCCCCAGGTGTGGCTGCATCGAACACCGCCAGACATCTCAACTCAATTCGGCCAAGTCAAGACTTCACTCTAAAGCAGCATCTTTAATATTTGCCATCTGAGGTGGGTACTTCCGCTAATAGAAGGTAAGTCATCAGCAGTGTTCGTAAGAGAAGATCTGAATCAGACTTGGTCTCCATCTACAAAACAACCTGGAAACAGAAGCAACTCTCTGGATAGTTCAAGCACCTTCTCCATCAAAATCTATCTTTGCTGAAAATATATTGATAATTTATACAAAACTGCAGGGGTGGGGGGGTTGGATTTTTCATTAGTTAAGCATCGTGTGGTCCTAAGTCCCCTCGCCGGGCAGGTGAGTCTTCTCTGTGGGACTGGGGGACGGGGCCCTATTGGGAGTGCTCAGCAGGCATCACTTTCCTCACCACATGCTGAGTCCCTGCAGGGTCCGAGCGCACCTCTGCCCACGAAGCTCTCCCTTTGCACGAAGAGGCCTCCCGACACCTTATGTAAAGGGTCCGAGTGCACCTCTGCCTCCCAACGCCTTATGTAAAGCGGCTCCCCCTCCTGTTGCCTAATTTCTCCATCCCCTTTGTCCTGATACGTTTTCCTTCTAGGCACCTCTTCCTTCCTAAAATTACCTGTTTGCTGACTCCTTTTCATGTGATTTCTCCCCCCATGGAATGTGGAACTGTCGGGCACACCGTCATCAAGTCACAATAATGATTAAATGCATGAATGGGCGAATGTCATCAGATTGCTGAGGGAAAAAAATAAGATAAATGTCTGAAAAAAAAAAAAGAACACATATATGGTGCGCCAGCAGTCCAAGTAACTCAATGCTGAGGCCATCAAAGAAGGAAGCTTTTGAAAACTTGGAAACATGGGAAGAAAAATGCTCGGTCATCCTTCAATGCAAGACATTAGAGGAAACATCTGTGGATGGTTTTCAGGAGCAGTGACGGGGGCAAGTGGGGTCTGTGGCTCAGCCACGGGGGCGGGCAGCCCCCCACGTATGCGGGAAGGATGAAGCCCTCCGCTGGGATGCACGCCCGCCAGCCAGCTCCGTGTCCACACTTCCCATCTCAACTCTGCAAGGCGCAGCCACGAGGAGCCAAGAAAAAGGCACCCTTCGCTGCGTGTTCCTCGTCCCGCAAGGTGCTGACAGCCTGGTAGCTGAGGGGTAAGGAGAGCCGAGGCTGTAATTGAGCCCAAGTGGCAATTGTGGTGAATTGACTGGGAACCACGGCTCCTTCCGGGAGCTCAGCTCAGGCTGCGAGGCCCACACGGCAGCCAGGGCCCCTGGAACAGTGATGTACTGATTTCGCTGTTTCCTGTCCCTGAAGAAGCCACCTGATCCACGGAGACGGGGCGAACGGGCGGGTGGCTTGACCCCGGGCTTGGCCTGGAAAGCGGCTGCAACGGAGTAAAGGGAACCCTCGGCCTCCTCGGCCTTCAGGGCGAAGCCCTCGCCTGCGGAACGGGCGCACTGTGTCCCCGCTGCCGTCACCTCCACCCAGTGCGGCGTGAGCTCCAGTGGGGCCCCAGTGGTTTCTGCGGTTTCTGCTCTGGGTGCTTAAGCAGGGCTTTGCCGCCGACCTTGTGCTTGTCTCCTTTCCCCAAAGTCAGCGTTTCCCGCTCAGCTCTCGTCCCGATGCTAAGCTGCGCCTTTCTGCCCCTTCTCCCACCAACGCTGTGATGACAACACCAAGGCCGAGTGATTAAGAGCCAGAGCGTCTGTAACCGACAAGGGGGGCTGTCCATCCTCCAACAGGTGACAAGCCCCCCAAGGCCAAGGGCACGCCTGCCCTCCTGGAGGCAGTAGTGTGATTTCCTGGAGTGGGAAGAGGGAGTTGGGCAATTCCAAACACCACTGCTCTCATCGAGCTCAGCAGTTTTCCAGCCTCTCCCCCCTGGCGGGTTGAGGGGCTGTCAGCATGTAGACAGGACCTGGGTGAGCGAGAAGGCATGGACCGGAACAGTGACAGCTCCACGGGGCAACCGCCTGCCCCTCTCTCCAGAGCGCGCCTGAGTCCAGCAAGGCAGGACCACTTCTCTGCCACTCTTCATGCGCAGGGCCCAGCACAGAGCCCGGATCATGGAAGGTGGCGTATTAGTTTCTTCCTGCTGCTGTAACAAATCATCACAAACGCTGGCTTTAAAAAGCACACATTTGGTAGAGTTCTGGAGACTTTTGAGTCCGACACGCATCTCATGGGGCTGAGATCAAGACCCTGGCAGGGCTGGTTGCTTCCGGAAGCTCTAGTGGAGAAACGGTCTCCTTGGTTTTCCTGCCCCCATTCCTTGGCTCACAGCTGCTTTCCCCCATCTCCAAAGCCAGCAAGGAAGTCTTTCTCACATCTCATCACTCAGAGCTTGACTTTCCCACCTTCCTCTTCTGCGTTGAAGGGAGCTTGTGATTACCTTGGGGCTCCCCCACATAATCTAGGATGATCTCCTTATTTCACAGTTGGCTGGCCACCAGCCTTAATCCCATCTGCAGTCTTCAATCCCCGTTGTCATGTAGCCTAACATAGTGACAATTTCTGTGCATGCGGCAGTGGCCTCTTTGGACAACTGCTGTCTTGCATACCATAGTGCTCAACAGAAAAGTGTTTAGTGTTGAGTCAGTGAATAACTCTGGTTATTGAGGACAGTCACATGGCCAATAGGTAACTATTCCAACATCAAAGCATTTCATATTTTAAAAGGAAAAAAGCTATCCAAAGTATTGTCCACTTCTACATCACCTCCAAAGGTAATAATTGGCAACTTGCAGCCATATATTAAGACTGTGATTGGTGATTAACTATATCATCAAGTGATCAGTGCTTTAGACTAAGGGCACAGCCCGTCTAGTCCAGAGGAAAGTGGCAGGAAATGTTATTGGTTAGGTTGTTCTTGATGCCACTTAATGGAAGCCATAAAAGTCATTTTCTTTTTTTCTCTTTTAACTCTGATTTTGTGAGTCTGCTCAATAAACTCTGGACTGTCCCTCCAATTAACATGAAAACACCAAGTGCTGGGAAGAAGGTTTAAATGGGACCGGCAAACTTACACAAGATTCAGGAGTCCCTGGGACAACAAGGAAATCAAGCTACTCAATCCTTAAGGAAATCAACCCTGAATATTCACTGGAAGGACTGATGGAGAAGCTAAAGCTCCAATTCTTTGGTCACCTGATGTGAAGAGCGAACTCACTGAAAAAGACCCTGATGCTGGGAAATGTGGAGGGCAGGAGGAGAAGGGGGCGATAGAGCTTGAGATGGTTGGATGGCATCACTGACTCAACAGACGTGAGATTGGGCAAACTCTGGGAGACAGTGAAGGACAGGGAAACCTGACCTGCTGCAGTCCATGGGGTCGCAAAGAGTCAGACATGGCTTAGCAACTGAACAACACTAACAGGCTTACAGCTGCCAGTGGCCCTAGAGAGAAGTGCTGTTGTTACTTTTCAAGTTGTTTTTCCTGTGGAAAAGGCAGGATCTAATCAGCTAAGTTCCAAATATACACAACTTCCCACCTTTCCCCTGCAAAGTGGTATTTCTTCCCTCCAGGCTGCTCTTGCTCGTGGGAACTGACAGGGCTGATGGCAGTCCGCCTTGCTGGAGCCTGGGGACCTGGATGCTCGGAGTGGCGCTGTCCATTTCAGCACTGTGTGGGGACCGAGCCCCCTTCTGCCTTCTCCCTGGGGACTCTGAGACTACATTGCCTCTCAGGCATCTTCAGTGCAGAAGAAGCACCTCTGAGGAGTGAGGTTAGACACACAGCATAAGACTTTTCCTTCAGACACCCTCTAAGCCAAGGTGGGACCACACTCAGGTTAGTCGCCTATGCCATTAAGATTTGGTTCTGCAACTTCCTAGAGGATCCGAGAGTGACTTTCCACACCATGTGCAGAGGTCTGTGGGCAGCTGGGCAGGTTTCAACTTCTTCTGTAAGAAGGAGAGAGCTTGTAGCCTCCCCACGGTTTCAAAGACCGCTCAGCTCAGTTCAGTCGCTCAGTCATGTCTGACTCTTTGCCACCCCATGGACTGCAGCACGCCAGGCCTCCCTGTCCATCACCAACTCCCGGAGCTTACTCAAACTCATGTCCATTGAGTCAGTGATGCCATCCAACCATCTCATCCTCTGTCATCCCCTTCTCCTCCCACCTTAAATCTTTCCCAGCATCAGGATCTTTTCCAATGAATCAGTTCTTCGCCTCAGGTGGCCAAAGTATTGGAGTTTCAGCTTCAACATCAGTCCTTCCAATGAACACTC